CAAGAAAGAGAATTATAAAACTGCAAAGCCCAAAATGATGTCGTTTAAGGAATGGTCAAAATGACATCATTTTTAAGCCTGAGGATCTATGCGTGACCCATCGACCTGACCCGAGGTTCGCGCAACCGACTCGTGACTCAGATTCCCCTCATCTTTAGATCGATCCAATTGAACTAGTATCGAACTGCCAAAAACACATTCCAAACCGTCAAGCCAGACTGCTCCTAATCGGCTCGCCCAAATCGATGTTGACCGAATTGTTGATCAATCCAGTTCAGGTAAAAAAAAAATTTGAATAATTTTTTATATTATTTTAAATTTTAATATTTATGCATGTTAAAATATTTAAATTTGTTAGAATAAATTAATCAATAATAAAAATAAGTAATGAAATATATAGTTAAAACTTTTGATAATTTTGTGAATTTTAAAATAAATCTTATAAAATAATAATTAAAATAATAATAAAAAATATAAGAAAAGGAAATTTTTATTCCACGATGAGATTTAAAGGTACTCCAAGTAATGATACCTATGAAATCTCTAGGTGAAAAGATTTTTTTTAAATACTATCAGTGTATTAAAGTATTTATATAAAGTTTTCAATACAATAAAAATTTTCTTTTTATATTATAAAATAGTAAAACAAAAATTAACTAAATTGTTAAAAACAAAATAATAAAATGAGAAAAATAAAGAAAAAGAAAATTTTATTCGAGGATAGGATTTTAAAAGTATTCTGAGTAGTGATGCTTTACAAAATCCTAAGTGAGGAGATTTTTTGTAACTATTATTAGTATATTGAAATATTTATAAAAATCTTCAATATGATAAAATTTTCTCTTTTCTTCAATAATAAAAATAATAATTCAATAAATAAGATTAATAAAATTTTTAAAGAATAGAATAAAATGTGCGCATCAACATATTAGCATTTTGTATTACATGCACAACATAGTTTTTACAAAAAATAAATTCGAGCCTCCAATTATGAGATTTTAATATTCAGAGAAGCAATGCCTAATAAATCTCTAGGTAAGAAAAAACTCTTCTAATGTTACCATCGTACTAGAGCATTTTAAGAATTATTTCAATAAAAAGGTTCTAATTTATTTTTCTTGAGTAAAAATGAAACAATAAATAATAAAAGATATTAAAAAAAACCATAATTTTAATTAGAAAAATCAAGGAAATTATTTTTCAAACATTAAAAATAAGATTGGTTTTTATCAAAATCAATGGATAACACATAATTAATTGGTACTATTTAAACGGACACTGTGAAGGTACTAATCCTTCCCCACGCATAATCGACTCTCAAACTCAAATTGGTTAGTAGACCCTAAAATTATCCTTTTAATAAATTTTAAGATTTTATTAAAAGGATATGATTTAATAAGTGATCAATCACACCTAGCTAAAAAAGATTGGTGGCTATTTTCGTTTTTCATTTTTTTTCTTTTCGTTTCCAAATTTATCAAGGAAACACAAAACTGTTACGACAAGGAATGATCGTATAAATTTTTGCCTTTCTTATGATCGAGGAGGGGGGATGAACCTCTCTCACCTCATTGTTTCTTATCATAACTTCAACATTTATATATTTTTGACTATTAATAGGACGTTGGCTAAAATTTTAGACGATCCTAACGATAAGGTTAACTTCATGTGGTACTTTTTGAATTTAAGTCCACTTGCCAAGGTGATTACAATGGTCGTTTACTCTAGGTTTTTAATCTGTAGAGTTTCCATGTTAAAATGTATGTCATAGCTTTTCAACGATTCATTGCGACATTAGTGGATCGATATCAGACTCAGAGTTGTCTCTTTTGTTCTTTGACTACTTACAAATCAAGACAAGAAAGACGCTCTTCAAATGTTGTATACCTCGATTCTAGGCTATTGTACCATGATTAAGCTGCACCTTTTAAGTGGTAGAAGACCTTTACACATCAAAGCTTCATCTGTACCCAGCATCATCTTGTTAGTCTTATAAAATTTTAAATAATTAAAGGGGTCAAAAGTACCATCATATGTTTCTAAGGTCGACATTTTCTTCAGTAAAGGGTGAGGTCTCCAAGACCTTAAGCTCATCCTTGAATGCCACTGCTTTTGTTTTTAGCTCTTTATCCATGGCTTGTATCTGAGCTTCCAAGTCTTTGTTCAATTGGAGTTAAGGTTTATCAATTTGGATTTTTAGGTTGTGGCATGTGTCGAGTTAAGACTGGGGTAATGGCAAACAAAGGTGTTATATTCCTCTTCTTTAGAGGCAATGATGCTTTCATCTCTTCATAACTTGGCTACTTGACCATGGCTCTTTGACCAAGAGTGATTAGGTCAGGCACCTTCAAAGTTACGGTGGGGTTGTGGTATGTAACATCTGTTTGAAGGCTTAGATGTACTCTATCAAAGCCTAGAATTGTTCCATGGTTAGGCCTATCCGTGGTGGGGGAGGTTGTTTTAAGTGTTGGCTATTTTATATTTTTGTTTCAGTTGAGATGGCCGTCTCTTCTTCCTCTAAGGTTCTTTTCCTTTATGGCATTGTTTCATGTTCAACTAGTGAGTAGAAAAGGAGTCCCTTACCTGGCATGTCAAATATTTGTGTTAAGCTCCAATCTCAAAGTATTCTTGGAAGGACAAAAGAAAAGACAGTTAGAGATAAAGGTAGAGAGTGTTCCTGCATTTGCACTCCAACGCGCAAGTCAAAATAAGTAAGATCAGAAAGAAAGTAATAAGGAGAATTATGAGTAGAATGAACTTGTCTTAATGGTACCTGGACTTTCATATTTATAGATAGGTGATTGGGGACCATTAGAGGATAATAAGGACAATGCCAAACAAACGTGGTATTAAGTATGTCAGACTGACCTGACATTTTAGGTTAGCACAAATATCAAAATTACCTCTAGTTGTTTGTTGAAGGCTTTTAATATGAAAAAATATCACTTTACCCTTTTGACCATTCAATGCCCCCAACAAGACTAAAAGATGGTAAATTTAAATAAGCTATATATCCCAAAGATTTATACTTCTAAAAACAATTTATAATTAAACTCTAACTCTATCATAAAATTTTAATAAAAATAAATAAATAATAAAAAGAGGTAAGGGCATTTTCAGAAATTTCACTCCACATGTTTACATTTAGTACTCCTATACATGTAGATAGATATTTATATATTTTGTTTGTTAACTGTGAAATTGAGCTATACAATGATAGATTAACATTTCTTTTTACTCGAGTCCCGGGTTCTTAATCTCCGAATCATATTATATTAGATACATTTTATTAATTTTTTTAATTAATTTTTGATGTTTTATATTTAGGTGACAATAAAATAGGTCTTACACCTTGCTCCGAGATTGTGGATTGTCTTAGCAAAATAAATGGAAGATTTTTTTTCTACAAAAAAGTGCTGATATTAAAATTGTTAGAATATGGTGTTTGAAAAAAAATAAAAAATTTAGAAAATAATTCATAGTGTATAACAATGTCACTTCTTTTTAAAATTTTATTTTCCTTCGTTATCAAATTAATTGATATGTAAAAAAGTTTTTGATGATAAACCTCAAAAATATAATAAATTTAATGATTAATTGCATTTTGTATTAATAAAATCAATTAATGAGTTTTTAAGAATAGAATTATTTGTTTTGATAAAAGAACTTGTAGGGATTTTTCTTGATTTTACAAAACGACATTCAAGTTCAATTTATTTTTGATTATCTATTAAAAACCAAATGAAATTTTTTTATAATAAAATAAAAATCTCTTTATATAGATAAAACTATCTCAAAAAATATTTATTTATATAAACATAATTGATTATTATTATGTTTACTTGGATGAATATAAATATCCAAACACAACTCTAAAATAATTATTATTTTTTATAAATAAAAATAAATTTTCATCATCATATGTAATTCATTTGATATCTTATTTTAAAAATATTCCAATAACAATTTAAATAATAAATTAATTAGATATTTTTTTAATAAGTCTATAAATAAATTAAATTTTTAATATTTGACTTTTAATTGGCCAACTAACTAGCCTTTTTATGCGAAAACCACCAATATAATCCATAATAATTTGAAGTGGGAAAAGTAAAAAAACAAAAAAAATGGACCCCACTAATTTGTTCTACTGCTTTAATGTAGTGTACTGTAATAATTTTTCAGCAGTGAAAATATTTAAATCTGCGAAAGCATATTTAAGCCTTCAAAGGCGTTAAGCATTCAGCTGCCCTTTTTCTCTGGATATTAATGGTCATTCCCAAGAAGGGAACCAAATTAATTGATAAACAGAAATGGATGACAACCAATGTCGCCTTTTCTGCTTCCCCTTTCTTAAATCCGCTTAGCTTCGTTTCTAATTTGTATAGACAAATAAATATATAAAAAAAAAAAAGATTGTCTGAAATGTTAATTTTACATTTGCATGTCTTTTCTATTTAAACTATATTATATAATATATTATTAAAAAATTCGATCATTTATCAAAATATCATATATATATATATATGAATTCATTAAAATAAATATTATATTTAAATATCACATATAATATAATGAATAATATATTTTTTAATATATAATTAGATAACATATATTAAATGAAAGTTATATATGACAACGTAAAATAATTATTTTATATTTTTCTATAAATAATTTCATGCTGTTTAAATTGTTTTCGAGGATGAATGTTAAACGTTTCATTTTTTTAACAACAAATTTAGTTGTGAGAAAATTATTTCATTTTAAAATTACACCATAAATTTAAGCAAAACTTTACATTAGATTTATTTTAAAAAATCAGTGTTTATTTGTTCCAAAACGAACAAAACTAGTATCATTTTGTCTGTGTTATTTATAATAAAATAACAATATTTTAATTATTTATAATCATGGTTAATCAAATCGCAAAAAAAATTACACTGGCATATTGTAGGAAAAAAAAAAAAAGAAAAGGCAAGGCGAAGGCCAAGGGAGCACGTCAACAGGATTAAAGGAGCCATTATACACCACTTACGCAGGCAAATCTCCTTTATATATTCTCCCACTCAGTCAGTTGGTTTGCGCTCATCAAAACTCATCAAGCAAACTGCAAAAGAGCTAAGAAAAAAATAAGAGAGCAAAAGGAAAATGTCAAAATCAGCAGAAGAAGAGCACCCACAAAAAGCTTTTGGTTGGGCAGCCAGAGATAACTCTGGAATCCTCTCCCCTTTCCGTTTCTCCAGAAGGTACTACATGCGCATCCTGTTACCTCTTCTTTTTACAAAACAATACTATTTTTTTTCTGTTTCCAGTTTGTTTTACTTGATCTTTTTCTTTTGTTTGATAAATTTTTGCCTCATTTTCCTTTTTTTTTTCCAATGTACTTTTTGGCTATAGTCATGTTCACGCGTGTTTTGAGGTTGTCTACTGAAATTAATGTAAGATTTTTTCGATAAATTTGAACTTGACTGATGATTAGGGAATTGAAAAAATATGAAAGGAAAAAGCTTTTGGATTATTTAATAAATAAATCCAGTATGGGTTATTGTTTGATATTTAATAAATTTATTTGTACACGTTTTATAATATAAAAGGACAAAAACAAAATGAAAAATTCATGTCAACAGATGGGCCAATGAAGTAGCTCATGAATCATGCTAACCATGGGGCCATGGAGGGATCTATGTAGTATTGCCTCGTTTTCTTACTCTGCTAGCTAATGAAAATGTAATCCTTTTTCTACTCTGTATAAAAAATGAACCCTTTTCTTCAGCAGTAACTTGGTTTTGTGCAATAGTTGATGTAATACCTATTTTGCCAAAAAAAAAAAAAACACTATTTTGGCTTTTTTGGAAAAGATTTAGATAAAGTTTCTTAGGTGAAATTTTATATTAAAAATGATTAAATAAAAATTAAAATCAAAAATCAAAATCGATAAATTAAAAATCTTATTACATAGATCAAGTGTGTAAATTTTGATATATTTTGTAGATAAACATATTTAGTAAAAATTTTGACATTAAATAAGTACTTATCAAATTTGAATTATAAATAATTTTTTTAATAATTTTTTTTTTACATATTATTGATATTCATATTAAACTCTATCAATATATCAGTTTGAATTTTTTATTAAAATTTTTATTAAATCATTTTTAATAAAGAATTTCATAAATTTCACTTATAAAACTTCATATAAGCTGTCTTTTTTGGTACATCTATTTGCTCTCATTCATGACTATAAGCATGTGGTGTCTGACCGCTTGTTATCAGCTTGCAATGTAACTTTATTTTATTATGTCAGTTTTCCAGAATGGGATAAAATCATAATTATCCTCAATAAATGTTTGCCATTGTTTATTAAAATTTGAAATTTCTTGCAAATAAAATTAAGAAAGGGATGTGCTACATGATTTGAATATGAAAATGGAAAACAAAAATGATAAGTAGTGTAATATTAATTCTATGGTGAAAGCACATTAAAAAAATTTAAACTACAGAGTTTTTAGTAATCAATTTTGTATCTAGTATGAGAACGAGTATGATATTGACAATTAGATTTATTCAATCTTTACTTATGTATAATTTGGGTGATGATGGTTGTTACAATTTTTTATTCAATCTTTTGCAGAGATAATGGTGAGGATGATGTCACCTTAAAAGTTCTTTATTGTGGAGTTTGCCATTCAGACCTGCATATCGCTAGAAATGACTGGGGTTTTACCCATTACCCTGTTGTTCCTGGGTATGATACTTATCTCATATTAGCCTGTATAATCTCTTGAGGTTAATGTGTCTTTTATTTCTAAGGTTTGTGAATTATGAGGCTGATGTATAGCGAACTGAAGGAATTGGCTATTTATGTCTTTGAATGTTGTGGGGCTTATTCTATTCTGGTATATATAGCAGCTGTTCAATAAAGGTGTCTCACAGGCCATGTTTTATAATCCAAAAGGTCTCACTTTCATGGCTTGAATGGGTCAAGAAAAGTAGGACTCTTCAAAAGGATCATTTTTGGGGCTTGATTTTTTTGAAGCCTAGTTTTCCACTATTTTTCAACTATATATATAACAAGGAGTGGAGCTGAGAGTCTCTCTTCCCTGCTAGGCTATTATGTTTTAGTGGCTTTTCTTTGCAATGACTCTTCTAAAGCAATGTCCTTGGTGCTTTTTGTTCTTTTATATGGACATGATGAGAGATGGTTATCAGTTATTTAATCGATTAAGGTTATATTTTCTTTAATACTATTTCTGTTTCGATTTCTAATTCCTCACCCAATTAAGAGACCTCATTATGTTTTGGATTATTGTTGCAAAGATCGCATTTACTGGTCTAGCTTAGTTCTGTTTTGGTAGTAGAGTACTGCTAAATGACCAGTAGTTTATCAATTATTCTACCCTATTTTCAAGCTTCCATTTAACCTGGATTGCTTTAATGATGGTCTAGTGCCATGTAAATGTTCCTAAACTGGCATAACTGAGTGGATATTCTGGTACTAAAAGTAGCCACTTCATGTAGACATGCAGATATTTAGCTTGTCCAGAGCAATACCTTGTAACTTGTTTATGCTTAATAACCTACCTTTGCATTACTGGTTGGCCGTAACATCAGCTCTAGATTGTTGTTGATACTGTCTTAGGACAACCTTTATTTTTTTGGATAAATGCTAATTTTATTCATCCAAAGAAAAGAGTCCTGCTAGGAAACAAACATGGCTACCAAAAGACTTGCACCGAACCAAGGAAAAGCAAAATGATTGCAAAAGACTGAAATTAACTGATGCAGTCCCCAATACTGGCTGGCTGTTTGTAGTAACAAAGTAGATGTTGCAAAGCCTGAGTTGAATAGCTTCCTTAATGAGAGCAATAATATGACCAGCAGTTACGGGAGTCCCTTATTTTCTAGAATTTTCCTCTCCCTCCGAATAAAATAGAGATGAGCTGACCAAGTGTAAACGGGTTCTTTGTTTAGGTGAGGAAGCATTGCAAACAAGTACAATAGAATGTACTAGGAAACAGCAGAGAGGAAGATTGGAGCAGACTTTGAAGCATTGAGTGTAGCAACAAGTGGTGGTAGGTGGTGAAATAAGGTTGAGTAAAGAAGAGAATAAGGCTTAGAGAAGGATTTAGGAAAAGAGGATTATAGAGAAAGTTTGAGAGAAAATTGTGAGAAATCTGCCAAAGTCCCCAGAAATCTCCAAAAGTTCCTCATGAATTGTGAAAACTCTTATTTATAGGTCTTCAAGAATAAGAGTTACATATCATGAAAAATGAATAGAAATAATGGTGACTAATGGGAGAATTGAAAATTACAAAAAGTATTAACATATTGATTAATGGGAGTTTAATTAGCTTTTAGTGATAGGTTTCGTAAACATAGAATTTCACTATCTATTCTAAAAAAAAAAAGAAAAGCACTCATATTTTAGGGAAAGATTAAGAGGAAACTTTTTAATTATCTCTATATCTGATCCACCAAGTCAAACTCTCCGGAACATCCGAATAGTAGAATTAGCCTAAGAACTCTGCCATGTTCCTGAGTTATTTTTATTTCTTCTTTCAGTGAAATAATATTTGGTGAAGCGTCTTTTGTGAAATAACTCTTAGTGAAGCAACTTGTGTTTCAAGAGTTTTCAGTAATGGTGTTGGTTTTGTTCCTTAAGGAAGTTGTTCTGAGAACAACTGTTTCGTGATGGAGTTGTTCCTTGAATAGTTATTTCGTAAATAATTATTTTGTAAAGGGTTGTTCAATAAATAGCTATTCCATAAAATAACTTTCACCAAAACAGTCTTATCACATATTTCGTAAAATAACCTTTGCCGAAACAGTCTTATCACCTGTTTTGTAAAATAACTTTCACTGAAACAGTATTTTCTTTTTGCTCTGACTTATCCTCAATTTTAACAACCTTAGAGGAATTTAAAAGAATAAAATATTAATAATCAAATTCAAGTATCTACACCAAGCGAGAGAACAGTAGCTAAATATATATATATCTATCTAATTAATTAATATTCTGAATGTCTCTGGGGTTTTTTTTTTCTTTTATTTTGAAGTAGTGATATCTAATTTGAAACTATCGGATTGAATTGCTAATTAAATCATTCATGGAGTATGGCGGTATAGTTTGGTTGACATTGTTATCTTCCAAGCACATTTTGCAGGAAACTACATAAATAATGCATGCTGTTGTTGCTCTCCAGGCATGAAATTGTTGGCGTTGCAACAAAAGTTGGGAAAAACGTGAAGAAATTCAAAGTGGGTGACCGGGTTGGGGTTGGGGTTATGGTTGGCTCCTGCAAAACATGTGAATGCTGCCAGCAGGACTTGGAGAACTACTGCCCTCGTATAATATTTACCTATAACTCTCATAATCCGGATGGGACAAGAAATTATGGTGGTTATTCAGATATGATCGTGGTTGACCAGCGCTATGTGCTTAGGTTTCCTGATAACATGCCACTGGACGCGGGAGCACCATTATTATGTGCTGGGATCACAGTGTACAGCCCTATGAAATATTATGGAATGACTGAGGCAGGCAAGCATTTGGGTGTTGCAGGACTTGGTGGGCTTGGTCATGTTGCTGTGAAGATTGGTAAGGCCTTTGGTTTGAAAGTTACTGTCATTAGTAGCTCCCCGAGTAAGGAGTCTGAAGCAATCAATAGACTTGGTGCTGATTCATTCCTTGTCTCTAGTGATCCTGCAAAAATGAAGGTATGTGATAAATTAACTTTGAGAATTAGATGAACTAAGGTGCTTTCCTGGTTGATTTTGAACAATTTAATAATGATACACCACTGAAGCAAGTTAGATTAGGCTTATAGCATTGAATGAGATTGTGGCTTTAAATTTTATTGTGGCTCATAGCATTGAATGAGTCAGGATTAGGCTTCTGCTTACTACTGCTTGATGTCATACAGAGATTTTCTTTCTTGTTCTGAAAGCATTTGGATGTTATTATAATATTCCAACACTCATTACTCTACAAAAATCAGCATACTGAGTCAAGTTACATAGCACTTTGATGTTTATAATATTGTAATCTAGTGTGTGCTTACTCTTTGCAGTCAGCTATTGGCACCATGGACTATATCATTGACACAGTGTCTGCAGTTCATCCCCTGCTTCCACTGCTTAGTCTGCTGAAGGTGAATGGAAAATTGGTCACTGTGGGATTGCCCAATAAGCCACTTGAATTGCCTATTTTTCCTTTAATTTTGGGTAAGCCTCCCTCTTTATGGGCCTAACAAGTTATGATTCATGTTTAACATGCAATTTCTTTGTGTCCAGCTTCAGCTTCTGCTTGCTAATTAACGCTTTCTTCATTCAATGAAACAAGAAATATTTCTCCGTTTAAGAGCAGTGAGGGGAAAAATAGGAAATATGATGATAGGTTCCAGAATCTCAGGTTATCAATTGTAAAAGCTTGATGATAGGTTTAAAATTTTCTAAGGGCTTCAACTTTTGCTCTTAAATTTAACTGAAACCATTTATAAAATGAAGTTAAAGCCATAGGTACGAAACTTAGGATGTGTTTGTTACAAAATATTATGATAGGATAGGATAAGATGATATGATGAGTAGGATTAAATTAAATAATATTATCTTGTGTTTGATGTGTGTAAAGATTAGAATAAGATAATTTATTTATTGGACAAAATTATCCTTCCTCAAAGTTTATACAATTTAAATTATTGATATAATTTTTAAGGGGTATAATAGGACATGTCAGTTCAATCCCATGGATTAAAAATAATCCTCTCTACTTTGAGGAAATTGAATCATCTTATACCAAGAGGATGATTAATTGTAATTCTATCTTTTTTTTAGATACAAACTAAATATAATATAGAATGATTATCATTTTATCTTAACAATAATCCTACGCACCAAACATAACCTTAAAATATAATTTCTATGATGGGATCTTCCATAGGTCTTCAAGGTGATCTCCTTGTTCGCTGCTGCGAACTTGCCTTGAATTCCAGCCAGTTTCTAAGCATTTTTTGGTTTACAGGACGGAAGCTTGTTGGAGGAAGTGATAGTGGAGGGATGAAAGAAACACAGGAGATGCTAGACTTTTGTGCCAAGCACAATATCGCTGCGGACATTGAGCTGATTCGGATGGACGACATCAACACAGCTATGGAAAGGCTTACTAAATCTGATGTCCGATACCGTTTTGTGATTGATGTGGCTAATTCCTTGTAGCAGCAGGTTCATTGCTAACTGGCAAGTCCAGATGGTATAATAAATTCAAAGATTATGGTCTAAATATGCTTTATCCAAGAGGACAAAACTGATGAATTTTGATGACTTGGACTTATTATGTTGGTTCCCTGCTCCTTAGCACTCTCATTTGTTTTATTCCAGCTTAAAAGAACCTAATTCATGTACTTCTATTTCATTAAATAGATCATATGGTATTGGATTTTGATTCCTCTAACTACTTTTAATTTATACATTGTTGTCCCTGCTAGGTTTAAACCCCTGAAGTCATGACCCCATGCCCAGCGATTTATTATAAGCATAAATGAAATGTTTTTCCAGTGTTTGCTTGCTGCCGTCTTTTCTTGGACTCGTGGTCGATGGAGTCTTTATCTTATTGTGTTTATTTATATTTCGGGGTCTAGCAAAAATATTCTTGCCCAGCTATTGAATCTGGGTATCTGGTTTCACTTAGAATCAAACCAAAAAAATTCATTGGGGGACTTAATAAAAAACAATTAGGATTGGGGGACTTATTAAAAACAAATTGGACTTGAAAGATTCACCATCCGCATACAAATACAACAGCATTCAAATCCTTGATTTAAAAAAAAAAAAAAAAATCATGCCACCTGACATCTCGATCAAACAAAATTTCCTACCCATCGTCCCATCCTGTATTAGTTACATGCCACGATCTCACACTCAAAATCCATCATTAACATTCATCCTTCATACGAGATGGCATGGCACAATCTTTAACCGACTTTACTTGCCTCTACTTCACCTTTCTTCAAGTAACTTTACATCTATCCTCTGCTTTGGGACCCGTTGATCCTACTGAAAGTTTCATCGCTCTTCCTCTAATTCGGACAAACTGCCACATCCAGATGCCCTATGATGTGTTTTAGCTTCATCGACGGAGTTCGCAGATGTCGGTTACACAGGTAAAACAAAATCTTGCTCCAACATTACTCATTACAAGAAACCAGACCGGCAATTGTCCACAGTTTCAGGACTAGCTATATTCATGTTATACACTCTAACCAGCCACCGTATGGGAGAAAATGGAAAGGAAATTAAAATGTATGTTAAAATTTTTATTCCATTTTAACCACGTTATAGCTTTTTATGGATAGAACTCGATAAATTCCTAGTAACCCAAAGATTGTTGGAACAGTTTTTGCTAGTTTGTTAGAACGACGTTTTAGCTTTTAACTACGTTATAGCCAATTTGAATTTTGAAGGATACTGATACATGGCCCACGGAACATCAGGCGCTTGCATCATGCAAGTTTTAAGTGCAACCGCTCCCAGAGCCACCACTCTAATGCTAAGGGTTTACAATGGTTCCCTCAAGTAGTACAGGTTAAAGTTTTTATTATTATTATTATTATTATTATTATTGTTTATTTATATCAGTACCCAATTTTAAATACACTTAATTGTTTTATTTGATTTTGTGCTATCTTATTAGCTAATTCTTAATTTAATTCGTGATATCAACAGTCAGTTGCTTTTATTTTACTAATATTAATACAACTACTTGTTCATTCTGTAATAAAAGTTGTTCGGTAAATAAGTTTGAATTTTTTTCTCTTTTTTTTTCTTTTTTTAATATCATGGCTAGGTCTAATTACAAAGAGTATCTATTCTATAAGATGAAAATATATCCATGCAACGCTAGCTTTTATAACAAGCTGGTTTTTGGGGAGAAAATTCATGAATCAACATTCATTTTCCCTTTCTTGCCACTTGCATTGTTCTTTGGCGAAGGCTTTTCTCTTCGAGCTTTTATTGGTTTAGGTAAATACACTATATATACATAACGAAAAAACACTTTTTTTTCGGAACCAATAGTTATCTCCTACATATCTGTCTTCTTCAGCTCTCTTAAGATGGCGTTATCAGGCTTTCTATCGATTCTATGTCTGAGCCTAAGTCAGTACATTTCCTTAGAGGCAAAAGCCCAGCGGACAATTTTTCCTCCAACACGGATTAACCCTTTCCTCCAGTCTGTGATATCCCTGTTGTTAGTAAAATTAAAGTGCTGATATATCATTAATTATGTTTATATGTTTCTATTATTTATATGATTTTATGTGATCTTATTGCCAGAGTTGAGACATCTCAACTCTTGGAATCAACTCAATCAATCGCTAATGGACTATATCTATGGAAGGTTTCTAGTTACTCCTCTAGTGTTTGGCAATTTGATGGATACAAAAGAACGGTTTGTGGCTTTGGGGCTTTGTTTTTTGCGGAAAAAATAGGTCGAAACATTACATTAATTCCTAACACCAAATTTGTGCTTCGATACCTACAAATTTGTGATCAATTAATAACAATTGTTAACACCATTAGATTAAATTGTTAATGATGCTTTTACATGTGCACCGGCAAGTAAACATAAAATTTTCGAACAAATTTCGTAAGGGTAAATTAACTCTTTCCTCAATTAACTTTTTAAACTTTGAGGGATTTTAAATGTATCTCACATTTTGCTCTTTACATTTTTTTTTAATTTTTTATAAATAAAATTATTTAATTTTTTTTTATAAATTTCAAATATCCATATCTAGTAAATTTTATAACTTACTAAAATCAAATTTCTGATAAATTTTAAACTTACCAGAAACAAATTTTTGATAAATTTTATAACTTAAAGAAAATGAATTTTCAAAAAGTTCCAAAAATCAATTTTTTAAATAGGATTTATAAAATTTTCAAGGAAAATTACATAAAAAAAAAAGATTTTATTAAAGATTTTTACTTATTGATGTAATAAAAATTATTATTAAAAAAATAAATTTAAATATTAATAAAAAATTGATTTTACTATTTTAATCTTAGAAAAAGAATAAAATTTTATGAGAACTTAATTAAACATTCCATCTCTTAATGTTATAAGGAATGATAAAAGAATTACCAAGTGTCATAATGATTTTGAGGACCGTTAGATAAAATTTTAAAAAAACCTCAATACAAGGAGAAGTTGCTATCTTTTCTTTTTTTTTTTTGAAAGTATGATTAGTCACCTAAAATCACTTGATTCTAATATTTAAAAATGATTCATTCAAATTTTATCTTTATTATTGATCATATGTGGAGTGCCAATCATACCCCGCATATGACCAATAAAGCTATGGGATGCTATCAATAGTAAGGATAACATACGATCACCTAAAAGCACCCTACAGCTTCATTTTAAATTTTAAGATCATTTTTATCAATAGTAGGGTTGGTAATGGGTCGGGTCGAGGTGGGTTTTTACTCGTTTTTCAAACATGACCCGATCTGATTTTTTTTTATTTTTTTATACCCAAATCCGATCCAATCTGACCTTAAATTAATAAAATATATTTTTTAAAATATAAAATATTATTTTTAAAATATAAATATATAATTATATAAACATATATATAAATAAAAATTAAAAAATATAATTTTTATATAATATCAGGTCAGATCAGATTTGTCTAAAACCCGAATCTGACTCGACCCCAATTTTTTTTTAACAATACCCAACCCGAAACTTGATTTTAAAAAAAAATTGACCCTATAATATCAAGTCGGGTCGGAACCCATCGGGGCCGGGTTGGGCTACCAACTCTAATGATAACATATGATCTTTTTTTTAAGATGTGATTGGCCATCAATTGATCATATATTATCCTTACTATTAATAAAAATAATTTTAATTCTAATATTTAAAAATGATTCCTTCAAAAAAAATTTTTCATGAAAATCACTTTTCTCTTTTTTCCTTTTTTTTAAATAAAATTTTTTATTTAGGAAAAAATAAAAATTTTTAGTATCAAAATATTTTCTAATTCTTCAATATTTAAGTAAAATTTCGAAGAATATTTCTCCACTTGAGACTTTCATATTAATTCCTCAAAAATCTTATTCCTTTATAAAAATAATTATTGAAAAACCCTCCAAGTAAGGTCCCAAAAATTATTTTTATTTGGGAATATTAGTTTTTTATTTCTAAAAATTGATTTTTAAAATTTTATTTCATCAGTTCAATTTTATTATCAACAAATACGATGCATATGATGTAATATAAAATAAATAATACAAATAAATAAAATAAAATAAAGTCACACAATGCAAATAATTAAATTCATTTTATTCTTTTCCCATAATAATGAGAAATAAAAATCTTTAATAATGAAATTTTTTCTTTATTTCTCAATATTTAAGTGAAATTCAGAAACATTGATCATTCACTTTTAAAAGTTTATAATAATTTTCTCAGATAAAAATAACATTTTTGTAAAAATAATCATTCGAATTTTCTCCAATATTTAGGTAAGGTCTTCAAAATCATATTTCATTAAAAAATGTTATTGTTCATTTTTAACTTTCCTAAAAAATTTTAGAACTCTTTTATTCTTTTTTTAAACCAATTTTATTTCCAAGTTTATTCACCATTTGTTTTTATCATCTAAAAATCAATTTATTTTTTTTAAATTAATGCTAGAAAATGTTAAAAACAGAAATGAAAGTCAAAGTGAACAAATAATATAATGGCCCAATAAAGTAAAGGAGAAGAGATTATATCCACTAAGCTTTTGGGCTCCAAGCAAACCAAATCTAAATGGCCCAAATTTGATACGTTCTTGAATGGAACTTAAACTAGACCAGATCCAATGGCGATTGGGTCGAATTGGGTTTGATTTTGAAAGCAAACAAACTATATCGGTCATAATAAATGAGTCGACTTGACTTAATTTTTCTTTTTCATTCTTTTTTTTTTTAACAAAATAAGGCAAAAAAAAATTTTTTAAAAGTCAACTACTCTTTTTCTTTCTTTCTCTTATTTTTTTTTCTTCTCTTTTTTTTTTCTTTCCCTTCCTCTCCCACGTCCCAAACGCCAACAAAACTTTTTTTCTTTTTTTCTTTCTTTCTCTTTTCTTCTTTTCTCCTCTTTTCTCTCTCCTTATCAAACGTTGAAGCTTTTTTTTTCTTTTCATCATCGCACGCCCTTCTTTTCTTTTTTCTTCCTTCTTTTTTTGCTTCTTCTTCTTATCTTTTTTTTTTCCTTGCCAAATAGCCTTTTTGTTCTATCTTCTTTACTTTTTTTTTTATTTTCATTTCTTGTTGGATTGAATTTCTCGCTAAATGTTAAGACTGTGATCTTTATGTTTTTGGCACTCATTCCTCACCAAAGAATGTGACTAATTTTTGTTTTTTTT